ATAATCTGTTGGACACAGGTGTCTTTGTGCCTAGATCTGTGGCAGGAAGGGGTGTGGGACTCAGGGATGGATAATGAAGGTTCTAAAAGGGTAAAATGTGGAGCCATAGAAGACAGAAAGAAACAGCCCAACCATAGCCCAGATGCTAGAAAGTACACAGGCATGGAGCCAAAGAAAAAAAATAGGGGAAAAACCTCTCCACTTATCCGCTTACCTAGTCTGTCACTGCAGCCACTTCTCCCAGCTGGGAAATAATAGCTTATCTTAGCAGCTGTCACTATAATCTTTGAAAGGCTAAGTTAACTCTTAGGTCTTTGAGCAAAACCTGAAGACAAGAAAGACAAGTTTAATAAAAAGACTGTATATTTTATTTTTACATGTACATGGGCACCTTCACTAGAAAATGAAGACACGAAGAAGTAGCTAGAGGTGAATGCTATGTACTAGGTTAGACGAAGGGTAGCAAATTATGACAACATGACAAAACAAAGGGGTTTGGGGTAGGGTAGTTAACTGTGGAAAAGTGACTAGATTGATGAGGATCAGTTTAACAAGTTTGTACAGATTTCTCTCAGTACCCTTCTCTGGTGACAAGCATGTCTTCTTTCCTCTTGTATAGGGAGGACACTTTTCATGGGAGTTTTATCTCCTCCTTCCAGAAAAAAAGAAAGGTCAGAGGTCCCTTTTTGCATCTGACATTTTTAACTTACCTTTAACTCACTCAAAGTAACCAATATGCCAAGGCAGCATATTTTGGGGTGATAGACTCTGAACCCTTATATTTTGTTGCTAAATTAAGTGTGACTGCAAAGTAGAGATAATGCGGATGCTGTATGCTTGTAATTCCCTATGTCCCAGGTGCTAGAGGGCATTGATACGCCAATCACAAAAAGCTACAAATAGAGAAATGTTAGTGGGTCATGTACAATGTATCTCCATGACTGATGAATTATGCTATCATTTTTTTTTTTTTTTCCCTGAAAAAGAGCCTCTGGAATGTCTGGTGATGGTGACATGAGAAAATACAGTTTCAGATGCTACATAAAAATCAAGGCTTTGTTTTTGTTAACCTTAGTTATAAAATTTTTTTTTTCATAGTTGTTTATGATTTAGAAGTTCAGTTGAAAGTATCCACCAGGCATTCACAACTCTCAAGGCTGAAGGAACATTAATTCTTTAAAGTATGGTTTCCAGAGAGATTAATACGTCCTCTCGAAAATTGTTTTTGGATTTTTATTCTGAAAGACAAATTTTATTTGATTCATAAGATGCTCCTCACTTAAAATTTTCAGCTAGGGAATTTCTGCAAAGAGTGACTATGAGGCATTTCTCATGAGCCTATGTTGTTTTCTTATTCCTTTGTGGTTGTTGGGATTAATTTTACACAAAATTGCATAAGCTAATAAACAAAGGATATAAGATTATAGAAAAATTTGAGAGAAAAGAAATTTCTGTCAAGTCATAGATATGAAATGGAAGGTTAAGTAATGTGACTGCCTAACTCACAAGGACATTTTGGTGTCCTGGGTTTAATAATGCCATAGCTAGCCAATAAGTCAACAGACTTCATAGAGATACTAAAACCAGCTTGGGGAAAAACCTGTCTTCCAAGAAGAATTCTGCTCTGCCAGATTGGAGAGGTTTGTAATAGAACACCCAAGGATAGGAGCAATAAGCCATGTGGCTTCATAATTCTATGAAGACATAGAGGTTTATTTGCTATTTATGTTTTTTTCCTTCTATCACTTGCTACAAAAAATTATTCCCAGTTTAAGGCCCCACCTCTCCTTTCTGGAAACTCTCATTTCAGCTAATGCATTCTGTAATATTCAATGTAGTGTTAGAATAATGGTATTCTGCCCTGTTAGGTAATAAAGATTATATAGATAAAATTGGCTCTCAATTTTGTGTGACTTTTGCTTGGCTTTTGCTATAACACTCTTTTTACAACATACATTATCAGAGTTAATTTTTTTTATAGTGCTAGAAATGTCTGTATTTCACATTATTGCTATTATTATGAGGGAAAGTATTAGGGATGATGAGTTCTATTTCCAAAAGTGAAATCCCTATATAAGAAGTGGAAAGCAAACAAAAAATGGAAAATGGAAACTGAAGCAAATGTAGCTGAAAATATGGATATATGCGATTATTCATTCAAAATTATATGTTGGATGCTGACTTTGAGGCAGGTGTTGCTTTATATACTGGTGATACGGATGTAAACCAAGCAGACATAAACCACTTTTAAGAAGTTTATACTCTAGAGGGAAGAGTCAGAGAATAAAGAAAATATGTAAGTAAAACATGAAATATATTAAAGGGTGAGAAGTGCCACAGAGAGAGATCAATTAGGGAAGAAGCGTGGGGGAGATGAGGATGTTTGATTATTCAGTTCATGTATGTCTCCCAGGAGAGTGTACAAGACCTGAAGGCAGGAACTTTGTCTGATGATACTTGCCACCAGACCCTCGCAGATATCATTGCATATGGCACTTCATAAATGTTGAATGAACAGGTGGATAAAGTTGGCGTTGAATGAATCCTCCCCTTTTCCTGATCCACTTTTTCCTTTTCGTATTACTTTATATAGTACTTATATACAGTGGTCCCAAGACCTCCAGGAGATGCCTGAAACTGCGGGTAATACCTAACCCCATATATCTTATTGTACTGAACTCAGCCTTCTTGTGATGATGTGAGATGAAAAAAAATCCCAAAATGTTGAAATGAAGCGAGGTGAATGACATAGGCATAGGGACGGCTACTATTGACCTTAGATACAGAAGAAGGAGGGTCATCTACTTCGGGTCTACAGTGGACTTAGAGTAACTGAAACCACGGAGATCAAAACTGTGCCTAAGGTGAGGGACTATGTATATCATTTGCTTATTACTTATGTTCATTATTTATTGTCTGCCTAACTTGGCAAGAGCACAAAGGTAAACATTTTTAATCCTTTTGTTCATTGATCCATCCCAAGCGCCTAGAATTTTGCCTGACAGATAATAGGATTTAATAAATATTTGTTGAATGAATGTATAAATTTTGAGAAGTCATTTTCCCTAAGAGGGAACAATGGATTTATTAGCTTATGACATAAGAATTTTGTGTGCTGCTTTTGGCAAGACAGCTTATTTCTACCAGCATATTCTGATGGCTACTGACAAATTCACAATTTGGGTGCTCAAGAATCCTATGAATAAAATGCTTAAGAAGCTAATCCTGATGCCAAATTCATGGACCTTGGAGTAGCAAATGCTAAAGTGTATTTACTGTATACTTATTCAACTGTCAGTGGCACAGTGTTTTCTCTATCCTTAAGATTTTCAAAAACGGCCCAGTCAAGCAAACTAACAGTCACTCAATTTTTTGAAAAGTGAGGTTAGAGTATGTAACTCCAGATGAAACAACTCCCTTAGTAGACTTGACAGACCTGGGGTGGTTGTTTTCACTGGAAAGGCACCAAAAGTGTTTGCTGCCTTGCTATTTGTTGCTTTGTTGCTTTTTTATTTGAATTAACTCTTTTATATCCTTTCTCACCCAAGACACATAGCTATATCCACAAACTGCTTTCTGACAAAACTAGTGGAAAACTCATTTTTCAGTCCAGGACTTTCTTTCATTCCCCTAGTAAAAGGATCAGAGGTTTTAAAGAATTGCAGTTTATACTTGAAAGAGCCACAGACAGCTCTGGAAATGCAGCCTGAGAATCACAGTTCAGGAAAATGACACCCGAGACTAAATGCCCAGTATTAACACAGTTTTAATGATTGGGACGTGAAAGTCAACTGTATAGTATTTTCCTTCCTGGACATCTTGAAATACCTAGAGATTTGCTGACAGTATTTTGAAAATATTTTTGTTCAATATTTTTACATGATTATTATATTAGACTTTAGTTTCTTAAGGGCAAGACAGACTTTTTATTTAAAAAAAAGATTTTATTTATTTATTTGTGAGAGAGAGAGAGAGAGAGCCCAGCACCTGAGTAGGGGGGAGGGGCAGAAGCATGCTGAGTCCCTGCTGAGCAGGGAGCCCAGCATCATGACCTGAGCCAAAGGCAGCTACTTAACCAACTGAGCCACCCAGGCACCCTGCAAGACAGACTTCTCTTAAATCACAGTCTACCTAGCATCATGTGCAGGTAGCAGGTATTCTTACAAATAGCTAATAACATCTGTGAAGCCATTTCCAGATAGAAGGCTGTGAGCTAATTTATTCTCATTGAAAAAAGATATGGAAGGGGATGCCTGGGTGGCTCAGTTGGTTAAGCAACTGCCTTTGGCTCAGGTCATGATCTCAGGGTTCTGGGATCGTGTTCCACACTGGGCTCCTTGCTCAGTGAGGAGTCTGCTTCTCCCTCTGTCTGCAGCTCCCCATGCTTGTGCTCTCTCTCTCTCTCTCTCTCTGACAAATAAATAAATAAAATCTTAAAAAAAAAAAGTTGTGGTCATTAATAGAGAGCTTAAAATTACATCCCACCATATCTACTTTATGTAAGAGGAGGATCATTATAAATGTTATAGATTAACAAAAATAATATTTTTGTCTCTGAAATAGCCAAGTGGAGACACCTCTTATTTGCAAAATCTGTGTTATTTACTATGGTTGTTAGAAAATCATAGCTTTAATTGTGTATTTGTAAAGATTTTTCTTGTTAAGATGAATAATTTTATCTAGAAATTGGATCAGGAAAACCACACTAAATTTGTTAGTGCTGTGAAATAAGTCATTTTAATAATAAAGACACATAAATAAAATGTTTATGATAGAAACAATAAAGGTGTCTCTCAACCCGATACAACACTGAATTTCCAAGTAATTTGTAAGGAATATATTCATCTTTTTACATTCAAAATAATGGTTGAACAATGATGATTATCATTTTTTCTAATTTTCTTTTTCTATTCTATGAATTCACACAGTATTACAGTAATTTATAGTATTACAGTGCTTGGTAATCTTAAAGACATGAAATAAACTTCTAACAGTATATAGAAAATAAAAATAAAAGTCATTTGCATAACTTTATGAAAACAATATTTTTTTCTGTAAAATAAATTATGTACTTTATGTTGAAATGTCATTCTGTTAAAGTGTTTAGAAAATAGTTACATTCACGTTTTGGCAGTGTGCTCAAACATTCTTATTTGCCATTCCCTCATGCGTGATAAAATGAGGTGCAAGCTGTTTACATGGGAGGAAACAGCTTATTTTCACAGGAAAGGAAATGATACATGAAATGGAATTAATTTAGAAAAACCAAGTATCATAAGATAGAGATACAATAATTCACTAAGAAAAAATATTTTTCAAGGCCTTTTGAGGCGAGGCAACCTCAAAACTACTCAAAAGTAGTTTTCATCACACTACCCTGTAACTTCCATCAAATTAACATACTCATTGATTGCAGTTGAAAGCAAATGTTTGGTCCCTTGACTGAAGCACAACAGCTGAAATCCTTAATGAGCACTTTCATAAAGGAGCAAAAGGAATAAACGTCTCTATCCTCCTCCAAGTGTGGCTTGCAATGGTAGCACCTTTGGCACCGAATAGACCTGTTTTCCTTGTGACCATGACATGAAAATAAGTCTGGTGCTAATGGCAGTGATATTATTGAGCCAGATTTGCTGGTTTACCTAGAAAACAGCTAAAAGACTAAGACTGACTTAAGTTTAACCAATTTTGGAAAAAATGTACTTATCCATGATAATGACAAACACCTGAATGGCAATTTGGAAATGAACCTGCTTTCTGCTGTTTCTTCTTTTTCTTGCTTTTCTTCTGCTTTTTCTCAGCCTTCTTTTTGCTTGGCTTCTTTTTCTTGTATTCCTCTTTATACCATGGTCCCCAGACTCCTCCATTGAGCCGAGGGTTACTTCTGGGGTCTTTGGGGGGGTACCTGACAGGCACTGCGGTTTTGTTGAACTGTGACAGCCTCCGTAGGAGCTGCTTCACGATTCCAGGATACCTGTGAGACAGGTCCACTCTCTCATATGGGTCAGCTGTGATGTTGAAGAGCCATACGCTTTTGCCAGTCGACAAGGTAATTCGTTCGTTATGCCACCGGTTGGGCCCCAGGTTGCTGAAAGACTGAGGGGGAACCCAGTCACTGTAGCCAGGGTTTCCTGTAAGCAGTTTCCAGTGCTGCACCCTGATGGCTGACTGGATGGCGGTGTTCCAGATCCCGTAGCCTGCTGCCCAGGAGCCATTTTTCGCCTTGGTATAAATGGGGTCAATGTTATGCAAAATATCGACCCGGGGTGAACGAAGGCCTTCACTTATGGTTTCCCAGACATCATAGCCATCCAGTTGAATGTCCTCATCAATTTGTCCTTCAGCCAGTGAAATCAGAGTGGGGTACCAGTCAGTGATGTGCACAAGCTCCTTACACACTGTTCCCTTGTTTTTCAGAAGTGGACTATGCACAAAGCCGACTGCCCGAATGCCCCCTTCCCAGTATGTTCCTTTGCTACCTCTGAGAGGCCAGTTACTTCCTCCTGCTGTGGGCTGACCGCCATTATCTGAAGAGTAGATGATAATGCTGTTGTTATAGAAACCATATGTCTTCAGAGCCAGGGTCACATTGTTGATTGCTTCATCTAAGCAGGAAAGCATGGCAGCATACCTCCGCCTATTTATGTTGATAATGGATCTATAGTGTTCAAAATACCTGCCAGGGGCTTGCAGTGGTGAGTGAACAGCTTGGTAGGCAATATATAAAAATATAGGCTTTCTGGGGTCATGGGAAGCTAAGATTTGCTGAATTCTTTGAGTGTACATCTGTGTGGAGTAGATGCCATTGTCATAGTCCCAGGCAGCATTGTCATTTTCATACAAGTCATAGCCACACATTCCAGGACTGTCACATTTGTAGTGTGTGTAGTAATCACCACTTCCCAAGAGGGAACCAAAAAAGGTATCAAATCCTCTCTTGGTGGGCATACATTCTTTTCTATAAAAACCCAAGTGCCATTTTCCAACCATATGTGTTGAATAGCCAACCTCCTTCAGCTTCTGAGGTAGGGTTGCATTGTCCAGAGGTAAACAGTTGGGTTGGGTAGGTCTTATGATAGAATGTTGAAGTCCGGTGTGTATCTGATACCTTGACAAGAGTAAAAATTTCGTCAGTGCAGGATAAAAGAGATATTACAATGATTCTTAAATTAAACAATGTTTCTATGAAGAGAAACTTTACCTCAAGTAAAATATGACCAGTTCAACATTTCTATGGTTGACTCATAAGTCTTATCCTAATTAGCTTCATATTTAACATTTGAAATACATTTGACTCTAAATCAGTACTTTTGAAACTAAGATTTCACCACTTATCTCAAAGCACTTTTGTTTTGTTTTGTTTTGTTTTGAGAGAGAGTGTGAGTGGGACAGGGGAGGGGCAGAAGGAGAATCTTGAACTTGGAGCATGGAGCTCTACATAGGGCTCAATCTTATGACCCAGATCATGACCTAAGCCAAAATCAAGAGCTGGATGCTTAACCGATTGAGCCACCCAGGCACCCTTATCTCAGTGTTTTTAAAGTTCTTCTAATGGAATTAATCTGAATAAACTTTAAACTCTTAATTAATTATATGACATAGAAAGCTAATGTGATGAGGGAAAGGATACAAATGTTAGAGGAGTATTATTAGTTTTTAGTCTGGGGATCTCACATTAGCTCCCGAATCATTTCCTGAGATCTATTTCAAGCTAATTCTGAAGCACTAAAAATACAAGCAAAAGTTATATAAAAGTCTGCTGTTTGATTGTCAAAATATATTTTATAATTAGTCCCCAACCTGTTAGATCTCTGTAAAGAGAAAGGGAATTTTTCTGGTTCACAGTACATTATTCTGAAAAAACATTTTAGGGTAAGGGTTTTAGCTAATGCTAAAGAAGGATTACATTTTCCCCAAAACAGAAGGAAAAGAGTCCTTTCATATTTTTTCCAGTGTCTCAATTTAAGAAAAAATTAGATTCATTTATAGTCTAAGGAAAAAAAGCAACACCTTCTATACGTTAAAATTAAGTGAATGTTAGTTTCCAGCATTGTTCTTGTCCCAAGGATATTTTGCCAAGGACTTTTCCTTAGAGAAGGGTTATCATCACATAAGTGTATGAATTTTCATTTGGGTCAAGACGTGCCTATTAGTTCACAACATTTAAAAGCAATTGATTCTATAGTCATTATATAAGTTCAAAAGGACTTTGAAAATAGAAAATACAGAAATTCTGAGAAAATGAAGATTGCAGAAGGTTTTAAAGTCGATGTGAAGATATTCTTGGAATCAGGTTACAGAGAGTAATATTGAGATCAAAATTAAAAATTTTAAAAACTGATTGAACCTGAAAGGCCATCATGTCATACATACCTTGGGTGAATGGTGCAATTTATTTAAATTTTCAAATGACGGGATAATGTAACTGTGAATCCTTTTGAAATATCAATTGCAGTAACATTGATGGTTTGGTAGGCCCCATAGGGAAATGTGATCACTAATGGAAAGCAGCATTCCACATGGACTTGTCTACTCTGCTGATCATTAAGCTGTCAAAATTTCACAATGATCACAATTGTAGTAATTTAAAATATAAAAACTCTCAAAGAAATAAGCATTTCACAAGCATTATTTAACACCAAATTCAGAAAATATTGTTATTATCCTTGATAATTTTTGATGATCCAGCTCAGGATCCAAAACATTTACTTGTGAAACCATCGATTTTTTATGAGTACATGACAAATTGGTAATACCTATCAGTGTAAACACTGAGTAAATTTAAAAATGGAAAAATCTGTATGGGTAAGAATTTTAATGAATTATTAACTAAATAATTCTATGTGGAAAATGTACTTGGTGAAAGTATCTATTCAATTCATTGAATGGCTAACCAATGCGTTTTTATAATCAAACTGGGCATTTTCTCAGCTAGTACTAAAAGCAAAAGTAATTGAGCCTTTTGAAAAGCATGAAATACAGAAAATGCTCACATAAAAAAGAGTAGGAAAGAAGAGATCTGCTTCTTTCAGGAGAGGGGACAGTGTTAGCAGATAAATAAGAGACATCAGAACTATTAACTGTATGGTTTCCACAACCTAGGACAGTCTTCATATTGGACAATTTAGAACCAACAACATTAAGGTTTGGCAGCAGCTCATAAACAGAAGAGAACTTTTCAGTACAGACTCATTAAATGGATTCAAGACTTTGGGACCAAACTGGTGGAGTTTGGGGTAGAATTTGGGCCATGGGTTAATGGTAGAGTTTGGGGGTCAGACAGACCTGGGATTGAATTTGCTCCACTGCTTATTAGCTGTGTGACTTTGGGCAGTACTTAACCCCTCTGATCCTCAGTTTCCTCATCTGTAAAATAGGGATAATAATACATATTGGGTTGTTGTAACACTGAAAGAGAACATAGAATCTGATAAGGAGAGTACATCAATAGATGACAGGTTTTGCTATTATTACCTCCAAGTTCTGAGTCATATGTTCCTTACATATTTGTACAAAGTTTTATTATTTATAGGCATTCTTTCACATGCATTATTATGTTTAGTTCTCACTATAACAGTGAGAAGTAGGACACTTTTATGTTAATTTTATAGATAGAATAGAGATATAGAGATGACCCCCAACTCCTCCAGCCTGCCCCACCAACCTGTGAAATTGATTCCTGAATGACAGGAGTTAAATCTGATTCTCTCTCTATTCTTTTTTTTTTTTTTTAAAGACTTTATTTATTTATTTGACAGAGATCACAAGTAGGCAGAGAGAGAGAGAGAGAGAGGAGGAAGCAAGCTCCCCGCTGAGCAGAGAGCCTGATGTGGGGCTTGATCCCAGTACGCTGGGATCATGACCTGAGCTGAAGGCAGAGGCTTAACCCACTGAGCCACCCAGGGGCCCCTATTCTTTTTAAGAATTAAAATCAGTACTTCTTGGATGCCTGGGTGGCTCAGTCAGTTGAACATCTGCCTTGGGCTTGGGTCATGATCCTGGCGTCCAGGGATCAAGTTCCATATCAGGCTCCTTGCTCAGCAGGGAGCTTGCTTCTCCCTCTGCCTGCCTCTCCCCCTGCTTGTGCTCTCTCTCTCTATGACAAATAAATAACTAAAATCTTAAAAAAAGTAAAATGAGTACTTTTCGAAAAATCAAAGAGCAGGGAAAAAAAATGTCATCAGTTTTGAGAAGCAAATCTGTTCTAACTTTCTAATTAAAGAAAGGAAAGATTTTTGTAAATCAAATAGTGAGGCTTATATTGATCCCAGAGAAATTTGAGAACAATTTTTGAGTAGATGATTTGTGAGTATTTCAAAAACCTAAGTTAGCTTCATTTTCTTTTCTTCTCTATGTTACTTTAATTAATTTAAAAAATTTTAAGCTCCATTTTCTTTTTAAAAAAATATCAGCATTAGGTAAACAGTTTAGGAAAATGATGGGCATTTCAAAAATCTGCTCATTTTCTTATAAAATAATGAAAAAAATAACCATATGGTAACATTGTATATTCACCAAAAGAATGATAATGTTACACTTTAATACCAATTAAGGCATACAGATAATTTTCATTTACATGATTTCTCTGGCTTGTACAAGTCTGTGGATGAGGCAGGAGTGTTCCATTTATTATTTTCATCTAATAACAACAAAAGCAAAAAACACTGAAACTCAGAGTAATTTAGTGGTTTGTCAAGTTTTACAGCTGTAATCCTTGAAAAAAAAAATCTGGAATCCAGATTTTTGGGTTTAAAGGCTTTTCCATGAACACTCACAGATTATTGAACAGTTAGACCCATTTAAAATTTGGGTTTGTTTATTTGCATTTATTCATTTGCTCAATTAAGCAGTATACTGAGGTGGGTATTATGGAGGGCACATATTGCATGGAGCACTGGGTGTGGTACATAAACAATGAATTCTCAAACACTGAAAGGAAATAAAATAAATTTTAAAAAATGTGTGCCAGGGACAAAGTTGTTGTTTGTTTTTGTCCACCACCTCCTGGTACCCAAAGCTTTGATATCTTTAAATGAGCTCTAAGTCAAGATCAGTAATGGCAGTGACTTTTATGTATGAGTTCTCTGAACCTTGGGATCAGGTTGGGATGGAGTCAGTGCTTTTAGTCATGGAGAAGAGCACTGAATGTTAGCAAATTATTTTCTTTCAAGGAGAGGGTGCCTGAGTGGCTCAGTGGGTTAAGCCTCTACCTTCGGCTCTGGTCATGATCTCCAGTCCTGGGATCAAGCCCCACATCAGGCTCTCTGCTCAGCAGGGAGCCTGCTTTTCTCCTCTCTCTCTGCCTGCCTTTCTTTCTGCCTACTTGTGATCTCTCTCTGTCAAATAAATGAATAAATAAATCTTTTAAAAAAAGAAAAAAAAAAAAGAAGTAGATGGTTGAAATCCAGGGAAGAATCTTTGGCTTGATAGTGACTTTGACTAGGCAGCAGCAACTAGCTTGATGATCAATAATTCTTCAAAATACAAAATAGTATATTGATATATATCATATAGGAGGAAGAGTTGATATTATCAACTTTGAGCCTAATCAAGACTCAAAGTAATATAAATGGCCTGAAATGTCAAAACAAAGTAGGTGAAATATTGATCAAAAATTAAGGAGGTGCTCAAAGAGTGAAGGGAATACATAAGAAAGATATAGAAGCCTGAATGAAGGGGATCTCACTGGCTGAATATGAGACAATGTGAGTATCAAAATAGCGATAGTAAAAAATTTTACCCACTGAAAAAAATAGGGAAACCCTGAGTCCATACTATTATAAATAAATTGGCAAATAATAAAAATTTGCTATGGAATAGGATAATGACATATTCTCACAATACCTCCCACAAAACATGTGATGAGAGAGTAACTGTGCAGGGATGCCTGCATGGCTTTGTCAGTTAAGCATCTGCCTTCTGCTCAGGTCATGATCCTAAGGTCCTGGGATCGAGTCCAACATCGGGCTCCTTGTTCAGTGGGGAGCTGGCTTCTCTCTCTGTCTGCTGCTCCCTCTGCTTGTACTCTCTTTCTCTGACAAGTAGATAAATAAAATCTTTAAAAGAGTAACTGTAAAGTGAAAGCACCTGATAAACACCATATTAATC